CCTAAGTTTTCAGTTTTAGTTTTGCGGCAAGCAAATCTCTTCTAATGAATGATACAAATTGCAAACTTCTGACGAAGGTTTTTACTGAGTAGATCTTTTTGCTCATTTGAAGCTTAATTGGAATAATTTTTTTTTAAAAATAGTTTGTGCTTGACTTATGTTTGGATTGTATTTGACTTATGTCTTGAATTTCTTTCTGTACCAAAATTGGGTAGGTTTTGACTGTACTTGACTTTTTTTAAATTTCCCCGCCAAAAGTCGACACGTTTCAACTATGCGCTCAGTTTGAAATTGTTTATCGACCGAAGATTTTCGGTCAAAAACCTGCACCGTCTCGATTATAAAAAAGAAATTTAATTCGAGCAGCTCAACCCGGGTTGAAAATTTTGATAAAAAGATATTATCAAGCATAATTTTTTGGGAAACACCTCGGAAGTGGAATTTTTAGCTTTGAAATCTTAAACAACTGAATGAACATTTTATAGTTGAATTGTGGACTTAATCACATGAGGAGCATAATAACTATTGTTTAAAGTTGCAGTCTTCTCTTATTCTGTTCAATCTGAAAACTAAACATTTTTGTACATAACAAAATATTCTGGAAAATTGCGACAAAACACACTTCATGCATAAATCCTCTGAGGCAAAAATCAAGCATCAAGATTGGTAAACAATGTAAATTTTTCAAAGTTAATAGTTATGATGGGCGTTGAACTAAAATAATCTTTTTGTAATTGGTCAATTTTTTCGAGTGTTAGAGATGAGAGTTATTGCTTCTCTAAGGATTTTTAGCCCGAATTTAGTTTTATGAAATCGGTCGATTGCCGTCTAACTACGATCAGAAAAATCTATTTAATTAGATAAAAACTGAAAACATAAGGTATTGCGCTTTTCAAATAGAAAAAACTCTGATAAAAATAGCTTCATCTAAGAATGGGCAGAAGGTTGAGAACACCTTAAAAAAGTAATTCAAGGTCAAATATTTTTTTCACTTTGAGCCATGGGCGGATTTAGGATTTTCTCGAGGGGGGGTCGGATTTTCAAAAAATTTTCGAAAATTTTGTCGACTTTTTTTTTAGGTCGACCGAAATGATTTTTCGAGCTCTCCCTAAGCACGGTTAAGTACCTGTTTGGGCCAAATTTTCTGTGCCGCAGGCAAAATTTTAAAAAAACAGTCCAAACAGGGCGTTTTTAGGCACTTTTTGGAAAGTTTTGACAAACAAATTGCGTTTTTTCGGCGCGCGCTCCCCCCTCAAAATTAGTATATAATTAAATTTAGGGTCCGTCACCAAAAATGGATAACTCAAAATAGTACAAAGGCGGTACCCTTTGGGTCGGCAGGGGGGTCGAATCCCTGAGGGGGAGCGTCCGCCCTCCCCCGCCCCCCTTAAATCCGCCCCTGCTTTGAGCTCAAGTCAACAATACTTTGCGGCTGACGTAAAAAAAATCTATAAATTTTAATTGAGAAAAAATCACCCCTAACACAAAAATTTGGCCAGTTGCTTCGAAAGTCGGATCAACAAAACTGATGGTATCAGATTGAAGTTTTTAGATTTTTCTACTGCCTTTTAGGCTCTATGCAATAGAGCTCGCCTTTTTACATAACTGATAAAAAAATTTCTTTAAAAAATTTTCGAAGGTTTTTTTTTCAAAAACCATATCCCACACGCTATGTAAAGTTGTAAAGTACAACGTGATATAGCTCACTTTAGCAAATATGAAATAGCTCAAAAAGCATGCCTCAGTTCAATTTCTAACATGGATATAAGTAGTATGCATATAGTGCACTAGGATCGGGGGGGGGGGGGGTTGTCATACATGGATGACCATTAGGTATAAATCATAATGGTCACCATGTATTAAATGATCAGCAATGGTCACCATGTAATAATCCTAATTGTCACCATGTATAATTTTATACCTAATGGTCACTATGTAAAAATCCTAATTGTCACCATGTATAATTTTATACCTAATAGTCCTCATGTAAAACTTCGGTATATTATTGAGTATTCCCACTGAACGTTGTGGAAACGGGAATGGAATTAAGTTTTGGTCGGTGCATGTTTTCCCTTCGAAAGTTTGGGGGTATTGGTTTGTTTACATGTAAAATGACGTTATATACCTATTATATGCGATCAAACTATCTGGTATATAGGAAAGCAGAAGATTTTGGCAGCGTAGCTTAACTGTTGCCTGCGGTGACCGATTTCCTTCAAAAATGCATGTTTTATTGCTGAATCTCGAAGAAAGGAAAATTCGTCAAGTGCGGCGGCCGCCACCTCTTTTTAGGCAAAATTCAATTTGACCAAAATAAGAATGAAAAATTTCTTTAAGCCAACTGAAGGTAAAAAACAAAGAAAAATTATGGAACACTGAAAACTCTAAAATAATGAAATTGGCTTGAAAATTTCGACATTTCCATTTTCCTTGTCTACAGGAGACTGAAAACTAAACGTCTGAAATCTATGACAAAAGCTTTGATTTTATAGAAAGATTGAAAGAGCTAATAAGTTGAAGTGGCTAAAGATCTTGAAAAACGAGAAAACTGATGAAAGCAAAAAGTGTCCATTAATTTTGCTGCAGCCATTTCTAAGACTTGCATATACCACTTTTTATATGAAAGAGGAAACAATTTTCGGGGCTTCTAGAAAACGTTTAGTACTTACTATTAACTTTATTGTGCTAACCGAATTTTTAAACATATGCATGTTCCTACAAACTCTATGGTCTTGGTGAAAATAGATATGAAATGAAATGGTTGAATTACACACACAATCTTCTAAAACGAGTGTTGTTTAAATGCACCAAAAAAAAACAATTTTGTGTCAATTCCAAAATGGAAACTCTCAAAACCGTTCCAGATAAAATAGTATAACGCAGAACCAAAGAGCAGATTTGAAGTAACCCGCCATTACACAACTGTGAACAAACGTGGAAAGTAAGTATAATTTAGTACACTAATTTACAACATTAAATTTTGTATTCAACTTGAATCAAACACACAACCTTAGAGTTTTTTTGTTTGTTTTGCGTCTTTTTGACTGCGGTGCTGAGTCTTCAACTGCTTCGCGATCGAGGTACCATTCATCGTCTGATGACGAAGCAGAAGTGACTGTGTTTGGATCAACCAAAACGAAGAAGAAGTGACTGCATTTGGATCAACCAAATCAACACTTTCAATATCACTCTCAGCAATTTCCGTGACACGAATTCTACTTGGATCTAGAGCTTCATAGCTGGTGATACTTTTTAACAGGTCTCTCAACGATCGGTTCGGTTGAGTATTCAACACATGAAAGCTATCTTCTGACCCATAATTCAAATCCTGCGTGACGATTTCTTCTTGGCTCGAGCTCTCCTGATCTCAGTCGACTATCTCATCTTTTTCCTCGCAAAAATTTCAGTCAAAAATTTCAGCCAAATCCAGAATCTTAATCTTTGTGGTAACTGGTGCTATTAGTTTTCAGAGGCGAGAATTTCGATGTTATTTTTATGAGTTAGCAACCATTGAGTCACCTTTGTGATTTTTTTAGCAGAATGCTTGCATGTAGCCAAAAAAAAAACTGATGCTGACTAATCATTTTACCTTCAACTGTTTTTTAAACTTACAATGAAAATTGAAAGTGAAAAAAAGGTATGCATCCTTTTCAGAAGACCCCCACCCCTCATTTAAAAAAGGTGATAATCATTTAATCTACCCCACCCCCACCCACATTTACACAAAAAACCTGAGTCATCAAAAAAACTTTCACTAATAAAAAATTTTTTTCACCAAAATTTTTTTTTCAAAAATGAAAAAAAAAAAATTTCAAAAATTTTTTTTCCAAAATTTTAAAAATTTTTTTTTTTCAAAATTTAAAAAAAAAATTTTTCTTTTTTTTCGAAATTTCCTCCAATTTTTTTTTTCAATTTTTTTTCGAAAATTTTTTTTCCAATTTTTTTTAATTTTAATTTTGATGAAAAAAAATATTTAACAAAAATTTATTTATTTCTTACCAAATTTTTTTTTTCAACAAAAATTTTTTGAATTTTTTTTTCAAAAATTTTTTGGTCGAATTTCCCAAAAATTTTTTCCAATTTTTTTAAAAGAAAAGTTTTCGATAATTTTTTTTAAAATTTTTGGAATATACAGGTAATCCTATAAACACCGCTCTTTCCGAAACTGATTACTAGAGAATTGTGATAAACTACGTAAATGGTATGCTTGGTGTGGGTAAATGAACTTTCTTAATTTTAGATACCAAACGGGGAAGCTAACAGACTTAAATTGTCATGGAAGTTTTGTTGGCCTAAGAATTCTAGTGTGATTTTTTAAAACCGTAAATCTAGTGTTGCAATACTTTTTTGAAAACTCGGAGAGACCTGATCAAGAAAATTTGACTTCAGCAAAATTTGAGCGGAGTAAGTAAGCAAAAAATAGCTCTAAAATTTCAACTGATTCTTTCCTAACAGGTTGCATATGTCTGAAACATTACTCTTACTAAACAATCTCGATAAAACAATTGAATTGGTCTCAACACAGTTACTATGAATAAAATAAACAAGTTTGTTTAAACAGAATATAAGTTTAACAATGATAGTTTCTGATCGTTCTTTGATTTGAGACTCCTTGATTGTTCAATGACAAGTTCAAAGGCATTTTCTTCTAATTGATTCTCGTTTGCTACAACGTATGACATGGTAGTAAATCTTATATTTAAGTTTTGCCGTTTTCCTCAATCAATTCTGGAGAACCTGATAACAAAAAACAATTGAATACAAACTGAAAACTGATTATTTAATTTTGTTTTGACTATTCGGAATAGACGCAAAGGTTTTTGAATTTATTGGATAGTAAGGAAAGATAAAAGCAAATTATACTTCACAGAAAGATTGGCTATCGGGCCCCCCTTCCTCGCCGGGAAGTATTGTCCACTCAAAAGGTGGGGGTCGCATCAGGGAGCCACCACTGACTCTTTGTCGCCCGAAAACTAGCAGAATTCGGCGGCCTCCGGATATTACTCCACAAGTGCCTTCAATCCAGATCCATCCTTCAGTGCTCGCTTTACCTCCATCTGAAGCCATGCCACATGCTTGTTGACTACGTCGTCTCGTGAGTACTGCCGTACTTTGACGAAGTCATCAAAGATGACTTTTTTCTTGAAGGATTCAAGAAACACCTGAAGAGAGTACCGATGAAACGGTGCGCCTTCACACTTCTCCATCCAGAACTGGAAACATTCGCTCCTATAAGAAGTTGCTTTCTCAACTTGGTCTCTGAACCGCTCCCAGAATTCCACCGTCATTGTTTCCACCTTGTCCTTCCAGAGCCATGTCTCCGTTCTTTGCAGAAAGTGTTCTGCTCCTTCTTCGTCAGGACACTCTTCCAACTGAAGGAAGAGATCCGTAGATGCCACAAACAGTTCGGGATGTGGCACATCCCAAGCCCTTCTGTATAAGACACTCTCGAGGTAGGCCGGCAGCCGGTAGTAAGTCGTCTTTTTTACACAATTGTAAAACCGCCATAGGCGATTTGAAAATTCAGCTTGGTCGCTAAGACCAAAAGCAATTTTTGAACTGGTAGACATTTTCAGAAAACTAACTTTCTTTTATGAGTAGGTTGAATCAATGAATTTTGTCCTGACTATTTTAGTTTTGGTTCAGTTTCAATTTGGGAGTGGAGACTGATTTATTAGCTTATCATGTTGAGTAACAAAATATCGTCTAGCAACGGTTTGAAAACTATAAATAGAGAGGTCAAATTTTGCATATTGATACTAGTTATCGCAATCACAAACATATTAGACGAATGCAACTAAGAATTTTATGTCTATGATTACTTGTTAACCCGTGAACTTGAACCTTATAATGAAAAATGTGAACATGTAATAAAAAGTTTTATTCCACCCGTTAAACTATGACAGCATTAAAGTTGTTACACCCTGCTAACAGATTAACGCCTACTTAAACAGAGCAGTAAAAGTTATACCTAACTCTTTTTATTACTAGAGCTTCAAACTAAAGATTATTCTGAAGCTACGTCGATATCTTTAATCTATGTGGCTGAATACAAAATTTCATGAAATGTTGCAATTCAACGCTATGGAGAGAGATTTCAGATTGAAAAAAATATGGTTTTTCGAACGTTGAAAATGATTTTTGAATTATTGTTTTTTTATTTAACAAACACATAAAGATTAAAATTATAACTGATGCTACTGACTTTTCGTATTATAACCAATGCTGCTAAATTACTATGTTGAAAAAGTACTAAATTTTGCCCATAACCAAGAAGGTTAGCAAAAAAAAACTGCAGCTTGTATAAACAAAAATAATGAAACACTTGAACTTTTTCATTTGACAAGCTATATCAACACGTTAGTTCCAGCAAAATCGTCATGATATCTCGAGAATTTTTGACTTTTGAGATTTAATTATGAAGGCAAAAACAAATTTAATATTTGTTATATGGTGTATAAGTCGTCCTGAACAAGCTACAACTTCTTGTTATCTGAAAAGTATTTTATTATTGGACTTGTTTTTGAAGATAAAAGTTGTTTAGAATAAAAAATAACATTTAAAAATTCCTAATTGCTTTGATAGAGTCTATGATTGAGTTTCACATTCCAAAATGTACGTCTCGAAGTACGGAATATTTTGAAAATTCAATTTTAAACTGAGCATGTCACAACACATGATAGATCCTAAATATCCCAGTTGTCATGGGGACAGAATATCCTATAAAAATGTCAAAATTAGTATCAAAAACAGTTGAAATGATGAATAAGTAAAGCAAAAACTGAAAAATGACAGTTTTTTAACTTTCCAGGCGCATTGCTATCAATGATGTCAATCACGGAGCGGTTGCACGGTCCATGTCATCATGAATTTGTCTCAATTGTCTTTCGATTTGAAAAAAAAGTCCGAAAAAATACTTTTCTGTAAAGAGAAATGAGTTTGTTGTTTTAGGGGGGATTAAGGGGATTAGCGTTTTTCTCGAAAACTATTGAAAAAACATCTACTCCCACAATCTCATTAGTCGTGCCCCTCAATGCACTTTCATAATAACACCACTTGCTCATAATAAAAAATTGCGTCTTCTGGTTGAAAATCGCATTTTTTCGGAAAAATGAAAAAACGATGAGTCATCAATTAAAAAGTTTGATTTTTATTATTTTTCTCAAATATTTAGCATGATGATGAATACTTGTATTTTTTTCAATATGATCATTTTTGGAGACAACAGTATCAATGATCAAATGGTAACTCCAATTTGTAGAAAAAGAAAAAAATTAATGCTTTTTTTCCTTTTTGTAATTAAAAAATCAAATTTTTAACTAAAAAACATTAAAAAAATAAGTATTTTCATCAAAAAGTTGGTTTTAAACATCTTTTATACTATTTTTCATTATGTTTAATTTGTATGATAACTATTTGAATAAACATATGACAACATAAGTTTTCATCCAAAATTATTTTTTTCCAGTTTTTTTTTTGACGTTAATTATCTTTTTTCAAAAGACGAAATTGATTTTTTTAATCTTGTTTTCTTAAAATTAGCATATATATATGGATGCTTTTCAGTTTTTTGTCAAGATCACTAATGTAAATAAGAACTTCAATGTTAATATGTTAAATCCTATTTGTGGAAAAAATGAAAATTTTACGGATTTTTTTTTTGTTTTTAATTGAAAAAAAAATAGTCAATTTAATAAAAATAAATGATTTTTGTAACTTCAATTTTTAAAGGCTTTTGAAATAAATTTTTAATCAGAACCCAATCGTGTGATAATTAATGAACAAATACAAGATACAAACTCAAACTCAATTTTAAAGTTAAATTATTATACACAATAAATACAAACAAAAATCAAAAAAACTCAACCTCAGTTTCAAAGTTATATAAGGTCCAAATACTCCTGCGCTTTCTCTAGTGTTGTTGACTTCCTTTTTTTCTTTGGCGCTAGACAGAGAGAAGGGGTTAAGTTTTCCATGTGGTTGCTCACAGTAGCCACAGGGGTACGCTTTGGAGTTGAGCAACCCGGTTCGTCAAGCCATGGTGAAACTACAGGGGAAGGATCAGCTTTCGGGGTAACTACTGATGGTGACTCAATTTGTTCCATTCCCCATAAACGATCAAAAAATTCAATTTCTTCAAAGTATTCTAATTGGTTTTCACACATCGGAGTAACATCACAATCGTATTTATACAAAATTTTTTTTACTGGTTTTGATAAAGTTGAAATATCAACCTGAAGAGCAAGAGGCTCGTCAGGATCCGTATATTTACCAGAATTGGTAAGGTAACTCAAATACTTTATATTCAGTTCTTCGTCTTTCTTTGAATTTTTTAAGGAAAGTTTACTGAATAAATGTAAAAAATTTTTGGGAATCATAACGTGATGAGTACAAGTCCACTCATCAGAATTGAAACTTTTTTCTTCGTTAATTATTGCTACAAAATTACCGTGAACGGTTTCATAAAAAATGGTTCTATCGTAATTGGAATATCCGGCAATAATATAACAAGGCATTTTTGAAGAAAAGTTGGAAGAAAATGACAAACGTAACGCGGAGAGAAATGAAACTGAAATGAATTGTGAAAACGCCTCAAGAGATTAAAATAGGGATTGGTTCTTCTAAAATTAGAAATTTCAAGACCTCCTATGTAGTTTTTAATCGGTTTAATAAGGGAGGGCGTGTAAAATATTTATGTTACCTTGGGTGGTATTCTATGTTTATCTAAATTGCATTCAAACAAATAGCTTGTATCAAAAATAACGTTTAAACATTGTGACCTTTAACACCCATTAAAATTCTTATCAGTTGTACATGCACAAAATTTTTATCCATGTGAACTAAATTGCAATCCAATATCTTTGCGATATAAAGTACATGTGTATATAAATTAAAATAGATACAACGCCGCTTTCTTTTGCAGACATATACAATCAATCGGAACCATTCATTTCTTTCTATTCAGTTTTGAATCAAGTTACTTTGAAAATTTACTCGTTACAATGGATAAAACCAAAACAAGCACCACAGCAGATGCAGATAAAGATTTTGGCGATTGCTATTTCGATATTTCGGAAAACAGTAAAAGACTAGTGCGTGCTACATTGAAAACATATGACCAAACTGGAACTTATGTATTCCTGAAAGTTTTCAAAAAAGCAGCTGAAGGCGCTGAATTTGAATGTGTACAAAGACTTTCCTTAAGCAGCGAAGAATTTTCAAAATTACTAAAGTCGGGAAAGTCAATCCGAGCGCAAACAAGTGAAATTTCTGATACTGTTGAAAACAAAGACAAACCACAATCTAACTGAAAACGAGCCAGGAAATCTCAACTTTCCTCAAACACAAAGGATTTCAAGCACGACCCGAATTAATTTTCCTTTACAAAATGGCAGAAGCTATGTTCGAAGTTGTGTTACCTGATTATTTCAAAAAATTTCAACTAAATTTCAAATTTGTTATCACTGAAAAAATTCCTAATTTATCTACTTTTAAAAATTATGTTTTTGGAAGCCACTTCAAATCTGAATATTGCCCTTTTTCAGTCGAGAATGAAAAAAAAATTCATTACCATATATTGATTCAAGTAGATTCAGAGGAACAATTAAACCAATTTTTTCCTTCTCAAAAATGTTTCAGTGTTCCTTGTATTTTCACTTGCTTCAAATACTTAATTTCTCCTGCTAAAGATGTCAAAGGAAACGGTGAGTTATTTGACAAGCTTAAACTAGCTCTCACTTATTCAGCACAACCTGTTGCAGCCAATCTCGATTTGTTAGATTTCACTGCAATCAAAAAACGTTTACCCAATTTATTGCTTTCTGCAACATCATCTAACAAACAAACTTCACCAAATCAAAACGTTTGCAAGAAATCTCCGGCCGTTGGGGGACAGAAACGAATTGATAATACAGTTACGCCTGCTGCATCGTCGACGTCAAACAAATCCGTAAGAATTTCGACTTCAGTTTCAAAGAAACATACAGAAAGCAGACATGTTCAAACAGATGAGATGAATACAGAAACTTTGAAAAGATTTGAAAGTTTAATTAATGGACCCCATTCTGCCGCTTTTTGCAAAATAATGGATATTTTAACAAGTGGATATGGAAAACTTGATGTAGATACTGATGTGCTATTTGTGAAATTTATTGTTGAAGAGAAAGTTAAGTTTTAATTGATACATACTTTTCATTATTCCCTTTTTATTATATTGAGTTCAGTAAACATGATTTCGACTTTCGATTTAAAACTCATTCATGAAATTTTTATAGACTTAAAATCACAATATCCAGACAAATCAGTCAGATTTCAGTATTTTTTAGCCACTTGTTTGTATTTGGATGCTGATATTAATTTGGATTTTGTTTTGAAAAACAGACCATATGGTGGTTTAATTGGAATAGACAATTCGTCGCTCGACAAACACTTGAAACATTTCAAATTTCTTAGAATACATGCTATATTGCATGACGCAGCG